GCTGCTGCGGGAACCCAGAGGGAGTCACACGGTCCCGGGGAGGTGAAATTGGTTCAGATTTGATGTTGATGTTTTGGTTGGTGTTAATGGATAGGTTTGAACCCTGAGATAGCTGGCTGCCAGTACTGGGGGGAAGAGAACCAAAATGCAGAGATAAGAAAACATGACATAGGAGAAGAAGGTGACAGTTGATATGTCTGCGTGACGTGCGTTCCGGTGGTTCAACACCCTCAAAATGAGCACGTCAAAAAATGCAACCGAGTGAGGTGAAGAAATAAAGTTGAAAAAAGCATTAATTAAAGGGCTGAACTGCATTTATGGACACTAAAACCAAGCAGCTATTTCCTATGTCCAAACATTTGAGTTCATCACACAGGTGACTCCCATGTAAGGAGCTGCCAGGACACAGCCTGTCTGTGGGAGAAAGGGACAAGCACCACGGAACACGAGTGCTTTGCAGCTGAAGAGCAAACCTGAAAGGCAACACACCATCACCAGCAGACACGAAATTAAACTGCTCTTGTGCTACATATTCCGTTGTGCAGAGTATTAAGCTTGATGCAGCCAAAGTTCCTGCCCGGCTGCAACCTGTGGCACCAGTGTCCTTGGGTGTACTTGTAACACTTGGCTGTACTTACACGAGAGAGCTGAGGGCTGCTGGACCGAGGTGGTGCTGCTGCCAGGCTGAAACCTGCCCGAGGGACAGCATCCCTGGGGAGTTAAATCCCTGCAAGGCAGACAGGTCTGCACTAGTCAAGGAGTAATCTGAGAGGGGAAACAAATGAAAAAGAAAGTAGTTTATAGATTATTTTTATAGATACATAAATACATGGGAATATATGTGATACACACACACAAATATAAGTGTTCTGGCCAAAACAAACAAAGGCAAGTGACCCAAAGGAGCCCAAACGTGAAAGCATTGAAGTCCGGGAGCAATCTGACTTCCCACGGAGCTTAACAGGACATGAGCCTCCAAACGACAATTTGTTTGCATTCTGCTTTCAATTCCTACACGTTGCTGTCTCGTATAGCTGCTTCTAAACTCACACATGCAATGTATTTACACATTTATGTATACATGTATATATATGTGCCTTTCAGTAATAAAAGTAATAATTTGCATTTTTGAAGCTTCTCGACTGCACAGACATCTCAAAGTGAAACAAAAAGGGAAGTGTCATTGGAAAGGATCAGTGTTTACTAGAGACATCCCAATTCCGGCTCAGTTCCCGGATGGGAGGCAGTGTTAGTCAAACCAATACCACTTGGCTGGGTCATGGTCCAGTGCAGCTCACAGTCCCAAACCTAAACCCAAACACAGTAGTGGAACAGCATGAGCTGCTCCCATCACATCCTGTCTCTCCCCACAACAGCTCCATTCCTTACATTATGTCTGATTAAACTGTCATCTGTATCTCTAAAAAGCTTCTTTATTCAGAGCCAAAAGTACCATTATTTAGAAATAAAGCTGAAATGGATAATAGAAAATCCAGCAGATCCCTGTCAACAGTCACGGACTGGCCGTCGGTTCTGGCGAGGCTGGAACGCTCTGACAGTTCTCACTTCATTCAGAGGTGAAGTTATTTTCACTTTATCATTATCAGGTTTTAAAACAAAGCCACAAACACTTCTCTGCTTTTAATTATTTTCTAATACAGCTTCCTTGAAATAATTTCTGGTCTCTTGAGAACGCAACAAATTGCTCACAGCCAAACTTACTCATCCTGCCTGCAGAGGAGCCCAAATTCTCCTCAGCAGGGGTGCTTTTTGCTGTGGTTTGTGTTTGGGGTTTGTCGGGGGGGGGGGGGGGGGGGGGGGTCGGGTTGTGTC